GATTCTGCTTTTGAACCTGCCTTTGATCTTACAATAGTTGCAAATGAGTTTTTTGCTTAACACAATTTGGAGCTCAGATTTGTCCTGATGCCTTCTCATCAAGTTCTTMTCACTGTCAGCCCTAAGTGGGTTTAACATTTCTTTTCATGACTGCAGGCATCAGCAAAGCCTGCCAGATATTCTCTGAGAACAACCACAACACTTGAATAATCATGTCCAATAAAAACAAGGAATCTACATTGTAGTTAAGGAAGCTGAAGAGAAGTTAGGGTTTGTGGTGTCTGTCCCATCAGAAATAAATTTTGATTTCAAGCACACAGGTAGGGAGTGGTTAATTCAGATTCACTGCCTTTTTCTAGGGTTTTCTTTGACCTCTAGCTTTGCAGGGAGAATGCCAAGATATGGAACAGCTAGCTGGGCRGACAGATCTTCCTTCCTGTTGAAGCTATGCCAAGGAAGTCCTTTGTGCCTGTTCTTACTGGCATATTTGGGCATTTAAAATGAGTTCTTTCCTGGAAAACAGAGAGAGAGAGCCCAAAGAGCAGGGACTGGAACAAAAGTGCCTCCTTTCTTCTGAGGTGACCAGTCCCTAAACAACAGAATCATGCCACCACCCGCTTCTCTCCCCTTGGTATGTGATTCCTGTGCTCATGACTGCACAGTGGTTCCACTTTTCCCTTCTAAGGGTATTATGCACTGAAAGGTACAGAACTCTTCCAGAAGGTGCAATGGGGTTTCTGCCCCTTCAGATCAATGTCAACCAAGTGATTCACCTCCTAGGTGAAATTTAAACATGAATATGGAACTTAAACATGAATCACTTCCTCCCCTACCCCCATGGAAGTATTAATGCTTTTCAATGAGTTTTATATTATCTTAGAAAGTCCAAACAGAATTTACAGCATAGAGCAAAGGAAATGCTTCARGATATGAAGTAAAATAATATGGCTGAGCCATGAGCTACACAGTCAATAGTTAATTTAACTTTTAAAAGAGCCATTATTTGTGAAACAGAGAATAACAAAGGCCCCACACTGAATGAAAATATTGAAGTTCTTGTTTCCTATAAGCAGACCAATACCCAGCTGAGAGTAAATTCTAAACATTACTTGTTTTGAATATGCAACAGCATGAAGTCCTCTGGCAACGTTTAATCTTACTGGTCGGTTTGTAACTTGGACAATTTCTATCCTTCCACTGCTCCTTATGCAAATGAAACAAAGCCATCTTTTTCTATGTTACTTCCTCTGGATAAATTTACTGTTTAATTTCCATCCATACCCCCATTCCTGTTTAAATTCATACCTCTGTCACTGCTGTAGTGTCCATTYGGGTAACAACAGAGAGGCCCACACAGATAGGGTAAACAAAAAGAATACGAACTTCCTTTGGGGGAAATAAGATTCACTTGATGAAAATCTAACAGCCTACAAAAGCYACATTTTTTGCAAGATATTGGCAATAATGTGGTAGGGCTATTGGTTACTCTGTTAAATTAGATGGGCACTTGGCAGTTGCCACTTGTAAAAGCCTCATATTTTATTAATTATGGGCAAATCTCCATTATCATAAAATTTAAATACAAATTCCTATTCTATACTCCACTAAACACAAATGAAGCTTGGTGAATCTTTAGCATTCAAAACCTTGACCCTGAGATAAGCACAGTTGGTTAAAGCATGGTTCTAATAAAGCCAAGGTGGCAGGATTGATCCCTGCATGGGTCCGGAGGGATCTCCTGCACACGGGTCTGGGCAAACCCTCACAAGATCCTATTCTCCAAACTGCAGAGAGATGGCTTTGACAGGTAGATGTTTGGTGGATAAGGAATTGGTTGGATGAACACATCCAAAGGGTAGTGACCAATGGCTCAGAGCCCCAAAGAACATCAGTGAGCAGTGAAGTCCCTCAGGGGTCTGTACTGGGATCAGTGTTATTTAATGTYTTCATTARWGACACAGACRAAGGGATCAAGAGCACCCTCAGCAGAGCTGCAGATGACCCCAAGCTGACTGGAGTGGCTGACACACCTGAAGGATGAGATGCCATCCAGAGGGACCAGGACAAGCTCAAAAAGTGGGCACATGGGAATGTCATGAGTTTTAACAGGACCAAGTACAAGGTGCTGCATCTGGGTTGGGGTAAACCCTGGTATCAACACAGGCTGGGGAAAGAACAGGTTGAAAGCAGCCCTGCCAAGGAAAACTTGGGGAACTGGTGATGAAGGGCAGGACATGACTCAGCGATGCACAACTTCAGCCCAGAAAGCCAATTGTGTCCTGGTCTGCATCAGCAGCTGTGTGGCCAAAAAGCTGAGGAAGGTGATTCTGTCCCTTTACTCTGCTCTTGTGAAAGCCCACCTGGAGTGCTGTGTCCAAGTCTGGGTCCCCCAGCACACAAAAGGCATGGACCTGTTGGAAGAGGTCCAGATGAGGGTACAAAAATGATCATAGGAATGGAACAGCTCCCCTTTGAGGAAAGGCTGAGAGAGTTGGGATTGTTTATCCTCTTCAAAGAGTGGCCTTTCACTATTTAAAGGAGGCTTATAAGATAGGGAGACTTTTTAACTGAGCCTGTTTTTATAGGACAAGGAGTTAATGGTTGTAAAAGAGGGTACACTTAGGCTAGACATAAGAAACAAATTTTTTATAATGAGGATACATTGAATGATGAGTGGTGAATAATGAGTGGTGAAACACTGGAACAGGTTACTCAGAGAAGTGGTAGATGCCCCAACCCTGGAAAAAATTAAGATCAGGGACTTTGAGCAACCTATTCTATAACATAAGGAGGTGACTTAAGACTTTGAGAGGGGCAAGGACTGCAAGAAACATAGCATCATTTATCAGAAAAACCTTTAGGCAAAAAGGTCCTCCTTCAGTTTTGTTCTTTCTGCTATGTACTTCAAGAAAGTCTTACTTGACCTCCACACTTACCATGAATCCTAATGAAAGGCATCCTCTGCATGTATCATTATGATACGYCCTGTATCATGAAGCAGGCATTCTTTCAAAGGTTATCTTGAGAAATTTATGCTTGGTTTTTCAAGACATATCTTTATTCTTTTATTACTAATTTCTTCTTTTCCCATTTCTAATGGAACTTGAGAGCCATAGTCTCACAAGCATTTTTAAATTTTTRAGCTTACTTTAAATCTAAAGCTAATGCTGACRGGRCAAATTGGAAAATAAAAACATACAACACTTTTACATAACAGACATTATCTCAACTTCCATTAAATGAATTGTAGGCTATTAGAGGAAAAGCAAGCTCCAGCTTCACTCATATTGAGATCAGGAGGAAATTGCTGTCTTTGTTTATTCCTTGGAGTATCCCAGATAAAATCTAACAACAACTTCCTTAAAAGCGGCTTTGTGAGTCTTGGAATGCCCAGGCTCTTAAATCATAAATAAGAACAAATCTTTTSAGTTGAGTTTTAAATTGCACAGTCTGACATTTTCAGAAGTCTGAATGAGAAATCCTGTTTTGTGGCATCATGTCCTACTACAGTCCCTATTTAGTAATTTTTCCACATTTTCCTTTGTTATTYTTTTCCCCCTCTCATTGTTTTCTTATGGTACATTTACTCAGTTTTTTTAAAGGTGTTTGTGGTCCAAGGAGTTTTGTTAACACAGAAAAACACATAGGAGCTGTAAAAATATGCTCTACCACAGACAAATAAAGATATAATTAAGATATCACATATGTACATKCTACTGTAGCACACACTGGGCTGAATTTAAATAAATCACATCCAGTGTTGAGATCAAGAGAACTTTCTAAACAGATAGTCCTGCATCTACTCTAAAATCAATGCCAAGGACCAGGAAAAAGCTACAACTAACAGTATATAGCTAATTATCAGAGGTACTCCCTTCTGACACACACCATTGAGCCATTAAAAAAAAAAAAAAAAAAAAAAAAAAAAAAAAAAAAAAAAAAAAAAAAAAAAAGCCCCCAAACACTTCTAATTTCCACATAGCTCCTTGCAGAATATCTGCCTCAAGGCATAAAATTTGACAGATCAAAAGCATGGGCTGTGGCCTGAGTGGGCAAAACTAAACACAGTCCACAGAAACTGACAGAGTTCAAATGTCAATACATGCAAATGTCAGAACGTGTAAAGCTCCTATTCCACACCAAAAGCCTGCTTTAGTTTTCAGGTTTCCCCGAATGGTTCAGTACTGCAGCAGAACACTGCAGATTTTAAGAAACTTACTGCAATGGACCTCATCACTCCAATCATCACAGTCATTGTAGCCATTACACTGGAGTTTCCCTGGGATGCAGATCCCACTGGCACACAAGAAACTCTCCTCTCCTCCACACAGTGCTGCAAGAGAGAAGAAGAGACARAATAAGGATTGGTAGCATCAACACTACAAAGTTGATGCTACTGGAGTCTTACAAATTTAAAGTAATATTCAGTATTTTCCACAGGGATTGAAATATATTTCCAGTTTGGAAAACATCAGGATATGTCTCAGAGGAACATCATTGAATGCAAGAAGGTCAAGATAAAACCTGAAAGAAAAAAATGTCAGCTTTTTCAGATAGAACAAAGCCATTTAAGACTGCTATCAGAGAATGAGAATGACCCATTTTAAAAGACCTCAACAGGCAGTCATGAAAAGACTATTACACCTGTTAAATCTGCCCCGGGACAAAGGAAGGAGCCTTTAATTTGTCTACAAAAAAKACAATCATTTCTGCTTAAGACTGGCTTTACTATATAGACAGTAGGATATTTGATACCTTTCAGAATTTGCCAAACCAATAGGTAAACACTGGATGCTGTGAGGTGCCACTTAGCASTGGACATGTTGACTTTTTCAAAACATTTTCAGCTCACACTGGCTGCAAGTTCAACTATTTATCTAGAATTTTAGTTTTATTTGTGGTCCTAGAACAGTCCTTTTTATCACACTATGGCAATGGATGTACACATGAACATACACATCTCAGTACCCTCATTAGTTTTAAATTTTGTCAGCAGGAGATTATTTMTTTTCAACACACTTCCATTCTTTTCTAAGCTTCACTATTATTTTATCATCTCCAAGAAACAGGGTAATCTTAGACTTAGTTAACTGAAACACACACTCTTTGGGAAAAATTTGTAATAAAAACTTAGAAATTATTTCAAAATCTTTTCTATTACATTCCCAGGTRTACAGCAAATAATTTTGATTTTGCAATATAAACATCATTTTATGGTTGTGTAATGAGGACATGGTTATTTCAGTGAGACTTGCTTATGCAATGTATTTTAAAGGTTTCTAACTTTACAGAAATGTGCCCAAAATACTAAGAGATTTTAAACCAAAAAATTTCAACTAGTTTGTGCCATTTAATGTTTGTGACTTTTAATCAGAAACAAGGTAGAGCAAAACCACCAGCATCATCATTTTGCACACCCTTATGATGTTCTCCTCAGTAGGTTCCCTCACATTGTGTGCTTGGACATATTTCCTAACCTCTAACAGAAGTGTTACAGTCTCACCTATATTCTACCAGTTTTAAAAGGGTATTACAACAGCAAAATACAATAGTCTTAAAACAAACATGAGATTAGATAACATTCACAGTTTCAYTTCACAGGGGGAAATATGAAGCAATGAGATGTTAAAGTGGAAGTTATAAGAAATAATGAATAATAACTCCAACTGAGCAATCTAAGACAAAAAAAATCAGCATGTGATTTTTTTTGGAGCATAAAGACTGATGTTATTTTACATGTTCAAAGGATGCTCCTGTTGCCTTGGTAGTTGCAAGAGCATGCTCAGTTGCAAATAAACTCCAGCTATACAAATGAAAAGCCCAGCGGGCTGGAAGTATTCAAAGAACAGCAGAGAAAATTTTTATTTAAGTGCCTTGTTCAACATGGTCATTGCAACAGTGACAGGATAGGAATCTCATTCCATATGATAATGTCACACTCCATTACAAGCCAAACTTTTTATTTCTCCAGTTCCCTGCCCTACACACTGAACTCCCCAAATCCTGCAATCACTAAGCTCTAYAGGGGCCCCTAGAAACAACAGACTTCCTCGGTATGGAAATATTAGTTCCCTGGAGACGAGTGTTTATCCCACAGATGATGATGTCAGGTAAAAATAGAATGTGATAGCATAATCAAAATTTTGTAATTCATCATACAAGAAAACCTCTTTGAGGTTGGAAATGCAATTCTAACTGATTGCTAATCTTACATTCTTATAACTTGACTTTTACACAATTTCCTGCATGTTCAAAAAGGAAAACAGCATAAATAGCTCAAAAGAAACTGTCTTGAATTGATTAGAGATCTCCATGAGTAGAGAGCTTCACTCTGTACTAAGATAGCAAGAGCAATGGACTCCTATATTTTGTGTGAATTTGCCAATTTGGCCTGGGAGGACAAAAGTAAACAGCAGGAATATCTGATAATTTTTCTTACAGTAGAGCAAAGGTTCTGGGATCCCATATTCATTTCTGGGCTGTCAACAGAAGTGTGTTGAAGCACTTAAAAGTCATTCTGAGTCTGCCTACTTAATACATCTCTATTTTGCTCTGCTCCTATCCCAAACCATTTCTCCATTTCTCCATCCCTAAAGTGAGCATTTTCCTGTTTATCTCATGTGTTATACAAAAACAAGAGGAAGAGAGAATTTGGTTTTCTTTTTCTCAGTTTTAGCTTCCAGCAGCAATCAGAAGGAATTCTCAAAAACTTTAATCTCACCTCTTGCAGTCTTCTAATAGGTAATGACTGGATATGTTTGGACCAGTCAGTGCAGAGTTCAGGGCAAGGAGGGCACACACACTGTGAACAGTACCTCCAATGAATATAATTTCTGCTTTCTAGCAAGCTTCTGCAAGACATTTTCAGTTGGCTGATTATTCCATAATACCTCCAAAGATCAGATTTTAATGGAAATCCTAAAAGTCGTATCTAATGCTGTAAAACAAACACTTTTGTGGAATGTTAAATTTGGGTATTTGATCTGGAACCTGGTGGATTTAGTTATGCAACCACTTACAAGACTTTCTTGTCTTGTAAGACTGCACAGTCGGAAATGCTGGGTCTGTTTGAAACAAAGCAGCAGCAGAAGAAACAATGTCTGAAATAGATTTCTGAAATAGGAAAAATCTGGACCATTCCACTCAAATTTATTAAAAATGGAAGAGGTGTAATTCCAAAGAAATATGTTGTGAAATGTTAATTACTGATACCTCTGTAAATAATTTAATTATTAATGAAGTCATGCAAATACACACACACACACACACTCAAACTCATTAATAATTAAAAATGTTATGTAAAGTGAGCCCAAATAAAATTKAAGCAATCCTTGTTGATAGAGAAGCTTGCTTGTTTTAGTCCTCACCCAGAAAGATTTGCAGTCTGGAATAGCTTCCAAAATCCCTGACTAAAGGCCATTGGCAGTAAAAAGTGCTTTATTTTACCTGTGTCTGATGTACTATCAAAAGTGTCTTTGAGGAGGGAAGACCATTTATGTGCTGTGCTTCCCAGCTTAGATTACTGGAATGTCATCTATAGAAGATTATGTGGAAAGGTCCCTGGAAAGCTGCAGAGAGCACAGACTGAAATAAACATATTATTTACCATCCTCAAGATTGACATCTGTTTGCATTTCAAAGTATAGCTGAAGATAAAGCTTTCTATAACTATGAAAAGGACCATGGAAAGTGATGCTAATTTTTTTTCAAAGCAGAAACAGCATTTACTATCCAATGCCATGGAAGTACTAAGAGGAATTARAACAACCAAAAGGCAGTGCTCTTCATACAATGCATTAATAAGTTCTAAATTTCTAGAACACAATACTATGGATGCTAAAATGTACCCAAATCCATGAAATGAAGGGACATATAGAATAAAAATCTATGGCAAGTCACAAACTACAGAAAAATCTTTGAATCTCAAATAGATGGAAAATGCAGAAGTATTTGGAAAAGTACTGCCACATAATTGCCCTGTTCTCCTATTCTGGGTACCTGATTTTGTCAGCTTTTAGAGTCAGAATTATGAGACAGACAGACCTTTGCATCTTTCCCAGTACAGTCATAGTAGCACAGAGGAATCCCTGTATTCTCTCACCTTTGGATTTTCATCACCTGTTCCCTATACCATGTATGTATCCTGCAGTACAGTCTGTGCGTCTTGTTGCTGTCAATTCTAGAAAGTTTTGATACTATGATTGTAATCATGGAATTAGAAAAGCTGGCGACTCCTTACRCCCAGGCAATTGTTCATTTCTCTATTTCTTTAGGATGCAAAACTATGTGGGAGAAAGAGGRCAAAAAAACCTTTTTCTTTCACTCAAGTGATGTGGCCTAGTAACGTAAGAAACTCCAAGCTGGAAAAGACACAGGCAAAGAACAGAACAGGCAGAGATACACAGTGCGGGAGGCAGAATACGAGAATAGATATCAGAGAACACAACTAAATTTAATGCAGGATCAACAAAATTAAAGAGTGATTTGGTGGGGGAAATAAGTCTTTTCAACTTTGTGTGTTTCTTCACATGAAACACCACGACAGTCCTCGATTGGATAAATGATAAAAAGATTATTCCACTATTGCTTGTTTTGCAGCTGCTCAGCATCAATGTTACACATACATAAATCATCTCTCTCTTCTTTGCACTGCATTAAGTAAATGTAAGGGCACAAAAGAAAGAGAATGTCTTCCTGATTTTAAAAGCTTTTTCTCAAAAAAATTACCATCTGCTGCATATAATTATGTTGCCTACAGAAAAATAAAGACCTGTTGCAATCAGGTATTTGAATTCTCCACTCAAAGTTATTCCTCAAAGACAATTCTCTCAATAAATACCAGTGTGAAGCTAGGGGTGACCTAATTGCAGYCCTCCAATACCTGAAATAAGACTACAAGAAAGATGGAGAAGAACTTTTTACAAAAGCCTGTAGTGATAGGGCAAGGCTTCAAACTCAAAAAGAGTAGATTTAGAATAAATATTGGGAAGAAAACCTTTACTGAGAGGGTGGTGAGGCACTGGAGCAGRTTGCCCAGCTGAGTGGATGCCCCATCCCTGGAAGWGCKCAAGGCCAGGTTGGATATGGCTCTGAGCAGCCTGGTCKAGTGGAAGGTGTCTCTGTCCATGGCAGGAAGGTTGGAACGAGATGATTTTTAAGGTCCCTTCCAACCCAAAATCTCACGGCAATGAACTGCAGTTCAGGCCACTTGTGCACCACATTTTTAAAAGAAACAGATATTAATTCATAATGCCCCTTTAGCAAAAACAAAAAAGTGAACATAGTCTGACAATTCTATACTGTAATTTACACAGGGGTTTTTTTGTGTAAACAGTAGAGGCACCACATTCAGTACCATTTTTGAAAGCATTTTACAATTCAAATTAACAGAAAAATAAGTTCAGGGCTCTTTTGAGAGCTCCATGTTAATCAAAGTCAGATTACTGTACCGCTTTTCTTCTCATTCRAGCTACTGTGTTTTCTTCCACCATGGGTTTAACAGCACCAGTTGGCTGGTAAGAGCAAATAAAATAACAGAATAAACACAGTTTCAGTTGAGAGAAAGAAAAACAGAGCCAAAATATTTGTGTGAGCRGGGATATGAACAGCTCCCAGGAAGGTTTCTGTGATTTCTCCTCCCTAGAATGCATTATTGGTTTCATGGGGAATGACTGACTGATTATCCCTCCTGCTCACTCCCTTACATGCTTCCAACTCATTAGACCTGTGAAACCAGTTCAACTATCTCAAGCCACAAAAGATAAATTCTTACAACTATTTTTAGAGCAGCTGATTTTCTCAATCTACTGAGTCTTCACTTGTCACTCGAGTAAATGGATATCAATCTGAAGCACATCAGCCTTCWGACCTGCATCTTTTCCTCTATGACTCATTCCATACATTCAGATGGGTTTACTACAATGGCACATGGCTTGGATTTTCCAGTACAGTCAGTTCAGCACAACCAAAATATATTTCACAAGAGATTCCCCATAGTGGTATTGTGTACTCAATATGCAATGCTTATGGAGAAACTTTTAGACCAAGAGATAAATATTAGCTGTGACACATGAACCAGTATGTTCATAATATAACCCCTATTCTAACTAAAATGTTTTTCAGGAAAGTTGATGATTTTCCCCAGGATAAATGCTCTGGATTCTAACTAGAACATGAATCAAGCATATTTGGTCCAACAGGGCTTGGAAAGCAAAATGATATTCAAGAATTTTTTTGAGAAGTGATAATCTTAAATTCAGAAAATGTGGAGGATATGGAATATTTAGCCAAAATCAGAYCAAAATAAACAAGAGAAATCAAGAGAAAGTTTTGTTTGGTATTGGATGACATGGCACAAATATCTGTGGAACAAACAGGTATAGCAGCCAGACCTTGATTTTGATAAACATGAGATATAATTTAAGATGTAAAAGAGAAATACAACATTACTCAAAACAAATTCTATGCAAGGCATATGTGGGCAGAGAAGGACGCACTGGAGGCACCAATCCCCAAAAGAAACCACAAAGTTGAGAAATAAGCAGTCAAATGCCAAGGACATGCTCTTGAAATTTCCAGGAACTGGACCTTTAGAAGAGTGTGAAGAGCACTTTGTGCTGAGCAATAGATAAAAAGGGACTGGAGCAGTGAATCAGCCTCAGCTGTTTGATTCTACTGTGGTCAGAGAAGTAAATTCTTTCAAATATACAAAYTGCAGAAATAAATATTCAAGAACACCACAATTTATTTTTGTAGGAGAAGCAACCTAATGAACCTGAACTCTTACCTTTTCCGGTCACAGAGAAATCACATAAGAATATTTTTTTTTAATAAAAATAAAAGTAAGACCATGATTTTTGGGAAGTCTACCTCTTGATCAGTTTTGGGCTGGTTTTCTCAGCAAGGAAAAGGAGATATATTTGGAATTTAGCCTGTGTATCAGTTTTCTACTCTAAATAACAAACCTGTATTTACTAGAGCTTAGCAAACAAAATGTCAGCAGACCATATAATTTTTCTCCAACCTTTCCTTGAAACAGCTCAGAGTTTTTGATGTAAAATAAAAAGGCTTCAAATCAACACATGCTTGCAAAATACAGCCCAAATAATTAAAGCACTGCAAACTATAGCCAATGGACAACCAGACTTAGTCACATAAGTTGGAACATAACAACAGAATAACATAGTTTCAACCCAAAGCTTTTAGTACACAGTAAGAAAATATATTTAAATGAAAACTCATAAACACAGTGTAACAATTAAAAATGGAAACATACACTGCTTTCCTTTTTCTTGGTGTGGTGAGAAGCATACCCTTGTAGTGGTGTCATTCTCAGTTTTGTTTTGGAATTGAGAGCACTTCAGGAAGTCTGGCCAAGAAGCATTTACCATACCCAGGACTGGTTCACAGCCTTCTTTTGCTGCCTCACAAAATGTCCTGCAGGGCAAGAGGCCTCGACTGAAGAAAAGAGACAGAGAACAAAAGTAAAAATTATTATTACTTTAGTAGACTGTCAGAGAACAAAAGTAAAAATTATTATTACTTTAGTAGACTGTAAAAGCTTTTTAAAAGAGTAAAAAGTAACAACACATGCTTTTGACCAATTTTGCATTCTACAGAGCTATACCCATACCCTTACACTGATTAAATTTTCAACACAATTTTTGCAGCTTATGTCTAAATCACTGCAGAACCTCTTAGGCTTTAGTAAATGAAATTTTGCTTTGYTCATAACCATTCATAATGCCACAGGAAGCTCTTTCTCCTTGTACACAACATATATATTTCTCTTTATGTCTGACTCTTAATTGTCCCTGCCCATCTCTAAACCATGGCTAGAATTCCATATTCTGTCACACCTARATGGCCTGAACTGAAGAAGTCTACAGTACCCAAAAATTAACTTMGTGTTCAGTTTACGGTAACAGAATAACATAGTACTATTTTCAGCTGTGTGACATGGCAGCAAACACCACAAGAGAGGAACTAAAGACTGCCAGAGCTGCCTGACTACAGTGGTAATGAAAAATTGGTGTAAAGCAAAATATTCACTTGTATAGCTATYATGAAGTCAGAATGGTTGCCTGTCTCTGCTTAGTATCTAAAAAGACAAGTGTGCTGCCAGTGTTTTTACTGAGTTCATTACATCCTCCAGCTGGAACCACTTTTTCAAAATAGGAGGCAGGGGAAAAGTCCTGTGCAAAGGCAACTGCAGCCAGGAGAAAAGAGTGAGAATATGACAGAGAAGCAACTCTGTTGCTGCCAAGGTCAGTGCAGAAGGAGGGGCAGGAGGGCCTCCAGGAGCTGGAGCCGAGATTCCCCTGCAGCCCGTGGTGCAGCCCATGGTGAGGCAGCTGAACATCTGCAGCCCCTGAAGGTTTGTGGTGGAGCTGATATCCACCTGCAGCCCCTGGAGGGCCCCACACTGGAACAGGTGCTTGCCCAAAAGAAACTGTGACTTKGTGGGAAGCCCACCCCGGAGCAGCCTCTTGGAAGTACAGGGAGAAGCCCACACTGGAGCAGGATTCTGGCAGAACTTGYGATCCTGTGGGGAACTCACACTGGAGCAGCCTGCTCCTGAAGGACTGCACCTTGAGGGAAGGACCCACACTGGAACAGTTCATGAAGAACAGTAGCTGATGGGAAGCACTCACATTGGACAAGTTCGTGGAGGACTATGTCCTGGAGGAGGGGGAAAGATGGGAGGAGTCCTTCTCCTGAGAAGGAAGGAGTGACAGTGACAATGTGTGATGAACTGACATCAGCCCACATTCCCCATCCCTCTGTACCTCTGAGGGGRCAGGAAGTAGAGAATTCATGAGCAGAGTTAAACACAGGAGGAAGAGAGGAGTGTGAGGAAGATGTTTTAAGATTTGGGTTTCTTTTCTCATTACCCTGCTCTGATTTGATTGGCRATGAGTTAAATTACTTTCCCCAGGTTGAGTCTGTTTTGCCTATGACGGTAGCTGGTGAATGATCTCTCCTTGTCCGTATCTCAATCTGTAAGGCTTTTGTTCTATTTTCTCTCCCCTGWCCAGTTGAGGAGGGGAGCGGCTTTGGAGGGCGCCTGGTGAGCAGCCAACATCAACCCACCACAGACATGCAYAGAACAGTAATAATTTGGAAATTACCCTCTTCTAAAAGACAACTGCACAGTGATCTAATAAGCCAAGCAGAACTGGCAGACTCTAGAGAAGTTCTGACAGAGCAGAAAACATGGAATTATCCAGCAATTACTGCAATATTTGGCCCAGTTTCAATGTTGAGTCATATGTGCTCCATAAATTAAATATTTCTGGATAATGATCAAGTTTAGACATACTGCTTAATCTGCTGACGGATAAAAATGTTATTAAAAATATTTATCTTGATCTGTCTTATTTACAGCTACTTGGAAACCAACCATTTAAACTGGCAGGTCCATGGCAATCTTACCATAATTGATTTGGCACCAGTGGCAGGCACAGAAGGAGTTTATAACATATTTGGGYGTGATTCTGCTCTTTAGGATATTAAAGGAAAAACTCCTGAAAATTGAAAGAATCCATAAGTGGCACATTTTTACCTCTGTGATTGGTTTCCCTATAGTTAAAATTCAACTTCAGTAAATTCAGCTGCATAGAAATAACAATATTAAGAACTGTAGGGCACCAAAAGGAATAAAAATCTTCTTTATCGTTTATTTAAAAGTACATTAAAGGTAAAGAGAAGATAAGCATTTTAAATTTGCATAAGGATCTTTGAAGAAGCTATTTATCAAGGGTTTTATATTAAATATTCATTGAAGCAGGTATATACAATATAGCATAAACTCTGCTAACTGATTTTAATTTTCAAAGAGGTTACACACTGCCTGAAAGCAGATAACCTGACTTTCTCTTCAAGACAATCACCTAGGGTTCACTTAAATTGGAATTCAAATTGCCTGATTATRATTCTACATTGATCTACTCCTTACAACTCAGAGATATTTACATTTTTAGGCTAATTCTGTTCAGAATTTGCTCCTTCTCAAATACTGACTTCTCTTCTTTGCAATCACATAACCATGCACAGGGCTCATCAGCAGACTGTTCCTTAAGTGGTTATTTCGAGTACTAGAAGTTATCAAGGAAATATACTACAGGAAGCAGTAATGAGAGAAAAGATGCAACTGTTTTCCTCTYGCTGCAGAATTTACCACATTTTCTAAGGTTAGTTCAAGATTCAAGGYAGCTAAAGGGTCTGAGTCTCGACCTCAGCAGCCACTGAGGGCACGTGGAAGCAGCAGCAGTKTAGGCAGCTTGGTTCCCAAATGCCTGGATCTGGTTCTGTGCTGCTTTTAGTTTTGCCATTTGTAACAGCTGTTTTTAGGCAGTTAATGGGACAGGTCAAATAACTGATTCAATGGAAGAGCAACGTGACCAAAAAAATAAAAGCGGKTTTTTTTCTCATCTGGCAATTGAATTGAGTCCTCCAAAGGGGTACTGGCAAAGCAAGAATAAGATGTCAGGAGAGGGAATAGTAGAAGGAGGCAACAAATGCATTAAATAAAATATATAATTAACCCTCCTGCAGGGGCTCTCTTTGCAAGCTGGTAAATAAAAATAATATATCTAGTGCTCATTATTATCTGTGGCATTTCTTTGTGTCTTCACAATAGTATCTCYACTGGTGAAAGCACTGCTATAGCCATGCCCTGTTGAGAAATTCATTATTGCAATTTTACACATCAAAACAAATGATTTGCAAAAGGCATACAACCAAGCTAGTATACCAGAGCTGAAAATACAGCACAAAGAACACTCTGAGAACACACAACTTTTGACTGCATCTGCTATGTCACATTTGTGGTTTAACAGACAACCTGAAAGCAGATTGAGGAACACTTTCATCTACTGCTGGTCCTCATAACTGTTCTTTCCCCAACTTCAACCCTTCAGTTGTTCCAGGATAACTTTTTCTGTGGCCACACMATAAGCTGCATTCAGGTATTGAGCCAAGTTTAAAAAAGGTGTAGGGTATTTTGCTKCATCATTCGTAGACACATGCTAAGAATGATGATAGATCTCAGGCCTGAGGCAAAATAAAGGAACCAGTAATACAATTGAGAGAGATTGCTGAGGCAGGGAGGRTGAGTACGAGGACAAACTGAAACAGGATGAAATTATGGCAAGRAGAAAAAGGAGGTTACTCTGTGTTTCTACAGCCCTGAAATCAAACAAGTTGAAGTGATGAGCTCACACAGCAGCCTTTGTGAGTTCAAATTGTCTTTGATACTTTTCGTGACTTTCTGACAATAAAAACTTCCACAGAATATAAATGTCAGAAAAAAGAGMTGTCTACAGCAGAGCAAACACACACACCCAGAATTACAGTTTTCGAGGGTGACTGTTCTTATGAAATCCTCAGTACACTCTCACGGTACTGCAACAGGGAGACCAGCACATCTGTGAACAGTTTTATGAGGTAAACTCATAAAACCCTCAACATTGCTTCTCAATTCATGGATTTATAAACAAATTGGATGCTTAATGTTTCACTTTCACATAAACAAGAAAATGATGTATTTTTGTCTTTCACTRGTTTTCATCTCTATCTTGCAGGTTCATTTGAAAGAAAAATTTTGTTTTTCTATTTTGTCACTAGAGATGGGTTTAAATCTGAAATTTGCTTCTTTACATAATAAAATCTGAAAAGAAAGCAAGATTACTTTAGATTTTTGTTAACAAAATCATACTTAACAAAATCATACTGAATCCATATAGCAACATTCAAAGATGGCACCTCAATTCCATGCAACACTTCGTAATATTCAATGCATAGGTAGCTACATGTTTCTTACCTCCTACCTTGTTTTTAGCTCAAATGCATGTAATGTCTTCTTGAAGCAGGTTCCTGTGTACAAGTATAAAGATGCAAAATCAACCTGTAAAGGGAGAAGGCTCACAGTCTGAGAACATCTTAAAGGAGAAAAAAGGACTCAGAGTGGAACTTGGCAGAAGGCAGAGCAGCTCAGTTTCCCTGGGATGGGAGCCTGAAGAATGGCTGCAGYTGTTTAGACAAGATGAAGGCCTTGCAAAATGGGCTGAGCTGAGGGTAGGTGCCCACTTATCCACCCTACAGGGACTCAGTGTAAGGATTTACAGCTAGTGCAGAAAGCTGCTTCTCACTCACACTCATGAATATCCCTCTGCTCCCATGAAGCTGCCAATTACAGATGAGCCACAAGACGAATGMCCTTTCCAAGAGACTGAAAAAAGCCTGGGTTATACAATGAGAATGAAAAAGATGGAGGCACTGAATGGATTGCCTGCAGCATAGAAGAACAATCTGTTTAAAGGCTATGAGAACAGAAAAGTCTCAACAGCAAATTGCAATAAAAAGACGGACTGGAATCTGTTCTGTGGGTCCATACAGATGCCTTGTATTTTTTTCTCTAAGAATTACACATCCAATTAACTATTCCTTAATAGTTG